TAAACAGGAAGTACAGTGAGAGTATTAGTGCACATGTGTTTCAACAATGTGAAAACTGAGTCCCATTTTTTTTTAGTACTGGTTTAGTTCTGGTTTATGATTCTGATGTATTCTTTTCTTTTCTTTCTTGTTTTTTTTTTTTTAAAGACATTTATTTTCATAATTTTCAGAAAACAAACAAACAAAAAAATAAACAAAAAAAGTATATTAAAAGATTGATTAATTATTATTTTTATATATATATATATATATATATATATATATATATATATATATTTTTATTTTTTTATTTTTATTTTTATTTAATATACTAGATCTGGTTTAGTCCTGGCACAGTCCCGGTTCAGTCCTGGTGTAGTCCCGGTGTAGTCCTGGTACAGTCCCGGTTCAGTCCTGGTGTAGTCCCGGTGTAGTCCTGGTTCAGTCCCGGTTCAGTCTCGGTTCAGTCCTGGTTCAGTCCCAGCTTAGTCCTGGTACAGTCCCGGTGTAGTCCTGGTTTAGTCCTGGTTCAGTCACGGTTCAGTCTCTGTTCAGTCCTGGTTCAGTCCTTCAGTCCTGGTTCAGTCCTGGTTTAGTCCTGGTTCAGTCCTGGTTCAGTCCTGGTTTAGTCCTGGTTCAGTCCTGGATCAGTCCTGGTTCAATCCTGATGTAGTCCATCTTTAGTCCTGGTACAGTCCTGGTTCAGTCCTGGTTCAGTCCTGGTTTAGTCCTGGTTTCAGTCCTGGTTCAGTCCTGTTAGTCCTTCAGTCCTGGTTCAGTCCTGGTTCAGTCCTGGTTCAATCCTGATGTAGTCCATCTTTAGTCCTGGTTCAGTCCTGGTTCAGTCCCGGTTCAATCCTGATGGTTCAGTCCTGGTTCAGTCCCGGTTCAGTCCCGGTTCATTCCTGGTTCAGTCCCAGCTTTGTCCTGGTACAGTCCTGGTTCAGTCCTGGTTTAGTCCAGGTTCAGTCCTGGTTCAATCCTGATGTAGTCCATCTTTAGTCCCGGTTCAGTCCTGGTTTAGTCCTGGTTCAATCCTGGTTCAGTCCTGATGTAGTCCTTCTCTAGTCCCAGTTTAGTCTTGGTTCTGGTCCAAGTTCAGCCCTGGTTTAGTCAAACAGTTTCAATTTAAAGATGCACAATTTAATTTCTCCGTCACCTGCTCATCTCCATGGAGACATTAATGCTTTGCATGAAATGTCCCACATTACCACATTAAACTTATCCGTCTCCATGGCGTCAGGTCAAGCAACCGGTCAGATCTACGGAGAGTTTTACTCACAGTAAGAATGCACGGTTGTTGTTTTTTTTTGTGTGTGTGTGTAACTGTATAAATGTAAGATAGATAAGTTTAATGCCGTACTGTGAAACATTCCCATGCAAAGCAATAACATCTCCATGGAAACAAGCAGAAAAGTTACACAGTGCAGCTTTTATTGTTCTGGCTTTGACTTAAATCAGTTTAAAGCGCCGATATTTCTGATCTTTGTTGTAATTCTTTTTTTATTTTATTTTTTTTGTTTGTTTGTTTTTTTCCCACTCACATGTTTAACACTTATTACGTCAGGAGGTGGAACAGAGCATTGTACGTAATCAAAATACCAAAAAAAACTGCAAGAGTACAGGAGGGAGCAGTCCAAAAATACCCTTAACTTCTTTGAACCGAATTGATCCAACGTGGCTCCAATTTACGCACGATCTAATTGGCGACGTCGTGTCCGTAAATGCGTTTCGTGCAAATCAACGCGAGTCAAATCAAAGACACAGATCGTTAATTTGTATTTCATTAAGTGTAAAATGACTCAAATATTTATAAAGCCTAAAAAAAAAATATTTTTGATGACAGTGAATCGTTTCAAACTTGACTTTTGCGCGCGTAAAACACACAAATTAAGTAAAACGCGGTAGAAACACGTTTATTTTTGGTTCATTGTTTCGTTTTTTGAAACTCCACGCGCTCCTCTAACCTGTTAAATATGTGAACAGATTGTCGGAGCTGAATCCTGCTTACCTCGCTCGACTCTATCCCGCTCGCAAAGCCGGCTGTCGCCAATAATTCCTCAAAAGCCCCGGAGCGCTGGAGAAGGACCCGGGAGCCTGTACCGGGGCTTGGGAGCGTGCTGTAGCCGAGGAGAGAGCCCCAGAGCCCGGGTGAGATGTGAGGAGAGACGCGGTGACTTTGGAGCTGTGGTGGTGCGCGGTGAATGTGAATGAGAGCGCGGATCGAAAGCAGCTTTGCCCCCGCCAGCTGATCCTGTCATCGGCTAAACAGCTGAGCGTGCACCGCCAGGAGAGACCAGCAGGGGCGCCACCTCCGCAGACACGGCCCCGGGTGAGAGTAGGGCCCCCCAAAAGGTTCATTACGAGAGAAATTAGACACGGGAAAACCACAGTGACCACGTTTAGATTATGTTTTTAAATTCCAAATTAACTGTTCTGAATTAAATATTTTGGAATTAAAATATTTGAGACATTTACTTGACAGCTTTTATTCCGATTCAAAATTATTTAATTTGGGAAA